TGAGACAAAGTCTTTGATATGAAAATTGTTCATAGACACAAATACACATACATAAAGTACTATATATATATATATATATATATATAAGTGTAAGTAGCTGTGAAAACTTATTAAAGAGGGCTTTTTTCTTCCATTAAAATATCATTTATATATAAATATACAGCATTCATATTTTAAATACATAGGTAAGTCAACATAATTTCTCAAAAATTAAATAGCTTTATAAATAATACAATTATAAGGAGTTTTTAATATTGTTAGAATTTTTAAGGTCTTTCTAAAATTGAAATGTAATTTTTATCTTTCACTGAAATAAATTATATACCTTCTTTTTTTTATTAGATGTATATGGTGTTTCTATTTCTACTTGTTTCCAACTTGCTTTTAAATTTTATGTATATTTTTCAGTGAATTGTGGAGGCAGGAAAATGCCATGCAACAAAATTTAGGAACTCTTAAGGAAGAACTTTCAAAAAAAGATCAAGGTCTTCGTTCAATGACTGGGAAGGTAAGAAAAGAGTTAAGATTTACCAAAGACTGCAGAAGACATTTAGCATGCTCTTACACCATTTTTGGTTAGAAAACATTGAATTTTGATGGGTTTAGTTTATAATATGCAGAAATGCAGTGATAGGTACTGATTTATATTATTAAATAGCATAATATTTAGAAAATAAAAATCCCATATAAATTTTTGAAGCTGGCAAAGCATGGCTTCTGTTAGGGTAACACATATACTTTTTAATTTAATTACTCTGGATTTTTCATTATGTGCTTTTAGTATTCAGAATCTTAAATTTTATTTTTTAATATATAATCAGATTTTTATATAGTTGGCATGACTTCAAAGACATACTTGCTAATTCTTACAATTTATCAACCCTTTTGCAATATTATGACAAGTTAGATGAACTAATATTCTGACCTCAGAACCTTTTAGTATTGGGTTAACTGTACCTGTCTATTGAAAACAAAGAACAGAAGAAAATGAGGCACAGATAGCCTAGTTGCTTTGTGTCATAAAATGCCAAACAACCAACCAGAAGAAAACGACAAAGTTGTTGTTTTTTTGTCATTGTATTTTTGTTGTAAATGTAAGTTATTTGCACCTACTCTATGAATGAAATAAGTTCATTTGTATTCTGTAATTAAAACTTTTAAGTGCTCTTTGTTGAGCACAACAGTTGAAAAAGTCATTTGTAGATATAGTTTACAGTGTGAACAGAGTGATAGAAGGAGTGGTGTCAGGGACAAAAAATCTTTTTATGTATGGGAAAGGTTTTTGAGAATATTGGAGAATCTCCAGATGATTGACAAATATGCTGGAATAGTAGGAATTCACATTGCAGGACCATGTACGATAGCAGGTTTACATGGTTTTCTGCAGGAATATTTAGTAAGGAAACCAAATGACATAATTGATACTATATGTTTTTAGACTCGTACACATTCACCTCCTCAAACTATCTCGTATTTTAGAACTTATCAAGAAAAACCACTGTTTTATTTTAATTTGGCATGTATGGGGAGCGAAAAGTTTAACTCAGTATACTTTAGCTTTATCTTATGCATGTATTTGGTGTATGTTTGTAATATATCAGACTGATTAAAATTTGAACTTTAATGCGTGTACAAAAGATAGTGTTTATTTGTGTATTATGCTTGGTGCAATACTAGGCTTTAAAGTCATTCCATGTGAGATTGAATCAGTATTGTTTTCTGCATAGTTGTCTGTTGAAGACTTCAGTTAGAAGACCAAAAGCTTACAGTAAAACAAGTTTTTTAATGGTCAATAGTCTTAGATAATTCAATTAAATATTATTTAACCTAAATTATGAGTTATAAACAACAACAGTTTTTATATGTGAAAACTGCAGTAACAAGGGCTTCATCTAAGGCCATTTATGTAATCTAGTTGATCTCATGATCTGTAGTATTTATTAAAAGGCTTCATTAGCAGTGGCATACAGAAGTGTGGTGAAAGAGCTATTAAACTTCTAAGCCAGTTATTTAAACAAGTGTAACAGTAACTACCCAGAGAATAGGTCATTATGTTGTAACACATGTAACATTAAATATCCAAAGGATAAATCTTCATGTTGTGTTTATACAAAAATGAGTGTAAAAATAAAATACATATATATTTATTGCTATAAATAAATACACCAGAAAAATAGACAAAACTGAACAGAATTTACAAAAAATAAGAAAGGAAGACAAAGAAATTAGTTTCACTCTATAAAGAAAAGATAAGGAAATGAGAACAGTGTATCAAGTAAGTTATAAGTTTCCAAGCATGTGCCAAGTGAATATTTATGGTGTTAGTAAATTCTTTATGCATAAATTCATGTGCTAGATATTTTGTATTATATTTATATTTTATTATTAATTAAGGTGTCTAAAAAAAGGAAGTTTATGGTGATGTTCCACAATAAATTTTATGCTGCCATGTCTACTGTCTAGGTATTGAAGAAATTGAAAAACTTGATCAAAGTTCTTAAAGATGGTGAAAGGTACCATCAACATATCTACAATAATAAAGAGGTTTAAACTGTTGCTTACAATTTTTCTATCATTGTTTTTCATGAAAACATAAAGATAAGATGGTGTAAGTCTTTAGCCCATAGCAAAACCTTTGACTTGATTATAAAGTTTTCTATCCAAAAAAAAATGTTATTCTTTAGTAGCAAACTTCATACATTTCAAAAAGACAGATTTTGGGATGAAAATTTCCTTGGAGTTGTCATTATAAACCAACTCAGCACTTTACTGTATTCTCTCTTCTAACAGTGTATTTGTATATAATGATTCAATGTCAAAACTGGCACAGTGCATATTACTATCAAACTTTAAGTGTTGAATTTCACCAGAATACTCAAAACTGTCTTTTAGAGTATTCATTTGTGGTACATGTTTTCAAAATTCAGCTAGAAAATGAGCCAAACATGATTTTAAGTTCCAGTGTTTGATGCTGTTGGTTGTAAGGGGCATCCTTCTTTATGAACTTATGGTAAACAATAAAATATATTGGAAGGCTTCCTGATTGTTTAATATCCACGTACTATTTTTCATTAAGAATATATTTTTTCTTTAATTCTAGTAAAAACTTTTACAATTTAACTTCCCTTTTATTGGTAGGATCTTGATGCAATTTCACAAATTTTGTACAATCACTGACTATTTCTTCTTAATTTATATGATCATCTTTATCTAAAATTACAACAGTTATGTATGTCTAATTTAGAAATAATACTGTTATTTTTACTTAAATCTTTTAGAACTTCTATGCTTAGATTAGGTAAATGTTTATATTCATTATTATAACTGATAAAACCTGTCAAAGCTGTATCACTGATTTGGATTCAAATATAACTAAAACATTGACCAGTTTTATTACAAAAACTGTTCAAATAGAGTAAAATAATCTTCAAACTTAAGTTCATTAGGAATACTAAATTTTAAGCCAATTAGAATTTTTTTCTCTATATCTTTCATAACATACTTAGAAAAATTACATAATAAATTATCAGTTTTGTTTTTCGAACTCTTTAACATACATGAATGACATATATATATACTGGCAAATACTGTGTGTATTTGGTGTGCATAGTGTTTATTTATGCATATGTATATATTATCTGGAGCACTAACTACACATATATAAGAGAATAATGGGTAGATATATTTGTATAAAACATTTATAGATAAAAACGGGTGTATATATTTGTGTTCAGTGTATATTAACAAAACAGTGGAGGGCTATATTTGTCACAAAAATCTGTAATAATCTGCAGGATTTTGTATAATTTTAAACAAACTAATTATTAAGAACCTTCACTTTTACTGATTTCATTTTAATAATATTTTTCAAGTTAGAATTTTATGTGAACTTATGTTTTCTTTGTCGTACCCACCTCAGAGAGCAAATATGCTTTGAGTTGTGTATTTTTAGTATTTTATTTTTTATAGATATGAGACTTTGCAATCCCTTTTTTTAATCATAGTTTGTGAAAGTCAAAATACTTTTAGAATGATTTTTTTTTACCCACATTTTTTCTCTTTCTTAAGGCTACCTTAAATGGACGTGATAGTGTACGAAAAGTTCTTCAGACATTTCGGGAAAAAGGTGGCAGCTTTGAACAAATTGCAAACAGTTATTTTGGAATGTTGATTGAAAATTTTGATTGTGACAAGACTATTTACACTGCAGTTGAAGTAACATCTGGAAACAAGTAAGTAGCATTAAAAATTTGATTTGCAACAAGACCATGCAAGTGTTGAGGTGTTATTTGAAAATAAGTGGCAAGTTAGAATTTTATTTATGACAAGAGCACTCACATAAGTGTTGAGGTGTTATCTGAAAACAAGTGCTAGGTTATAATTTTATATATGACAAGACTATTCATGCAAGTGATGATGTGTAATCTGAAAATATGTGTAAAGCTAGAATTTTACTTGTGACGAGACTATTCATGGAAGTGTTGATGTGTAATCTGAAAATACGTGTAAAGCTAGAATTTTACTTGTGACAAGACCATTCACACAAGTGTTGAGGTGTAATCTGAAAATATGTGTAAAGCTAGAATTTTACTTGTGACAAGACCATTCACACAAGTGTTGAGGTGTAATCTGAACACAATTGACAATTTAAGATTTTACTTCTGATAAGATCATTCATGCAAGTATCAAGGTGACATATGAAAGTTTTTTCATTATATATTAAAAACATAAATTTTTTAGATCTTTGTGTTTTTTTTTTACTTGTTATTCTAACCCTGAATACACTGAAGTGTTATTGTGTAATAATAACACGTTCTTAGTTAAACTGTACTTCTACTTTTTTGTATCGTGTATGACACTTATATTATTTTTATTCTTTAAGGATACATTGAGTGCATGCTTTCACTTGTGTTCTGTTGTTTCAGTGCTCATTTACAGAAGCTGAACAGTTGTAATGAGAAGAGTGTTCCGAGTAACTAATTTATGTATCATGTTTATTCCCTCACATACATACAAGTTATTTTCCACAATCAAGCATAATTATGGCAAGGCTTTGGAATGTTTCTCCCTTTAATTGTTTTTCTCTTCGAAACATAGCTGTTTTAATTTGAATTGACAGTGGTTACTTAAAACGTACCCACTTTTTTTGTTTTAACCTACAAGTAGTTAATGTTTATAATATGAATCAAAGAGGAGTTTAGTGTTTTACTGTTTGCTTACTCAGTCAGTGATGTGTGATGTTCTTTTAGCTATGATTATAAATTTGTCAACTTTATGGAATTTTTGTTTTAGTTGTGGAGTATGTTTTAGTGTGTTAAAAGTTCATTTAATGCTATTTTTAATGATGTATTAATTTTTCCAATATATTTATTAGTCCATATATGCTACAAGTTATAGTCAAAGTCTGTTTGTATTGCTCAAAGCTGAAACTGAAATGATGAAGGAAAAATTCAACAATGTATATTGAGTTCTTATTATATGGGTTTTGTTTATCATAAAAAGAGGAAATTTTCAGAAATTTTCTGATAATGCCTCACAAGGTGATGAAGAAAAGTGGATCTGGATTGTTCATATTAATGTGCAAGTACTTGTTAATCAATTTTAAAAGTGCTATATTTTGTTTTGACATACACAGTTTCCACAAATGTTGACTTAAATTCTTAAATAGTAGCTTAAAATATTATAAATCTCTCTTTTTCCTCACTGTTAATGTATTTGCAGACTTTTTTATCATATTGTGGAAAACGACCGAATTGGAACAAAAGTCCTACAAGAGATGAACAGACAAAAGCTTCCAGGCGAGGTTACTTTCATGCCATTGAATCGTCTTATTTACAAGGAAGTTCAGTATCCCAACACAAATGTAAGAGTGGTAGCCAGGTGCACATGTTAGTTCAGTACTAGTTGCTAAGCAATCTAATTTTCATTCAAATATTATTATCTGTTGTAAGTTGTACAAGAGTAGAAGCTGCATGTATCTGTATATTGTATATTTTGATACCAATAAGCATTTTGTGTATGAAAATGAAAAGTGGTTATGTTTTTTGAGTTAGATCTCGTAAGTACTTCCTTTACAAGATATAACTTCTGGAAATGAATGATATTTCTACCATAGTTTTCTCTGGTTCTTCTAAATCTGATCAGTCTCAGGATATATGACTGCTGGAATCTAATGGCAAATGCTGTAAGAGTTTCTCTGGTATTTGCCATATACAGTTTAGATAGATCTGAAACCATAATGGTAGAATCTCAGGAATGTCAAACTGGCATTAACTTAAGAAAACACATTTTGATGTGTACAGCCAGACATCTTGTTGTGTGGTACAAAGCACATTTTGATGTGTACAACCATATATCTTATTGTGTGGTACAAAGCACATTTTGATGTGTACAACCATACATCTTATTGTGTGGTACAAAGCACATTTTGATGTGTACAGCCTTACATCTTATTGTGTGGTACAAAGCACATTTTGATGTGTACAGCCTTACATCTTATTGTGTGGTACAAAGCACATTTTGATGTGTACAGCCATACATCTTACTGTGTGGTACAAAGCACATTTTCATGTGTATAGCCATACATCTTATTGTGTTGTACAAAGCACATTTGCATGCGTATAGCCATACATCTTATTGTGTTGTACAAAATTAAACATTTCTAATGGAACTGCAAGTCACGTTTTAATCAGTTATCTTTAAAGTGAACTTTAAAATTAGTGGTAATATAAAGTACAATTGTAAGAAGTAATTTCTAAAGAAAGAAATAGCTGATTTATAATCACATAAGAAAGAAAAGCCTGAGTTAAAAACTCTCAAAGAGTTATTTTTATTAATTTGGGCTGCTTCAGGAAATCCTATTTAACATAAGCCTAGAACAAAATTTGGTTGAAAAGTAGCTTTTCTGTGCAACTGCAAGAATGATAGGATTTTACTCATCAAGATGCCTTCTGAATCTATATGATGATAATAGCATATACTAGTAGCTATTGAATTCTCTTGCAAGTCTTTGGCACAGTAACAAAATTTGCTCAATTTAAGTCATGCTTTTCATTATGTACATTAAATAAATCACAACTATGATAAAAATAGGGTTCTTAGGGATTAATTGAATGTAGCAAGTGAGAAAAGTTCACAAAAGCATATCATAGATAAATATTTCAGTTGAAAAGTTGAACACTTTCAAACTGATTTAATGTGTGTCATTTTTTATATTCTTATAATATCTATTGTAGTATTTATCCTAAACACCATTTTAGGTTTTCATGTTTTATGGGCAAGATTATTTGGAGATATAGATCCCTAATTTGCATAGCCAGTTGCTGACTAACAGCGTAGTACATCTGGTACAAATGTGAGTGAGTTAACCTTGAGAAAACTTGGACACTGAAAGGATTCAAACCTTTGACTCTGCATGCTGGAACAAATTCTTTATCATCAAAAATACCAGTTCTTGAATATTGCCTTCTTCAGTGGATGGAATATGGTAAATTCCTGAGCTGAACCAGTTGGCTTGTAAAGACTAAAATCTGTCTGTTTTTATCTTGGTTGGAAGCATTAAAGTATATCCCTAACTGTTTAACATTGTTACTTACTAGTAGAAATGCCACCCTACAGGTGACTGTATGTGTTAGTAATTACTAATCATAGTAGTCACAGCTCATTGAAAAAAAAATTTAGAAAAAAGTGAATAGTTTCTAAAAAAAAAAGGATTTTTTTTCTGGGAAGTAGTGTACGGAAAATGTGTGCGGATTGTGCTCTTTAGTCATATGCTACTCAGTGCATTAAAATTATTTAATATACAGAGCTCAAAATTTTCATAAATTTTGCTGATATGAACTGTAATGTTTTTATATATTAAAAATGGTGCTGTTTATTGAAAAACAGTTTCTCAGTATTGTATTTAAAAATTACAACAGTAAAGATATAATCAAATCCTCTTATACAGTCCTAGTGAAAGTCGTGTTCTTGTTATGAAGAGAGTACTTTTATTTAAAATTGTGTTCTATTATAAAGAAATAGTTGTTGCACATACCACAGTTATTTTTCTAATTGTTTAAATCTTGAATACTCAAAGTGTGAGAGTTTTTATGGATTTTTGATTGTGGTGCCATTCATTATATGGCACAGGAGTTTTGGTTACATACATAGATACTGACATACATGCTACGTCCATTGTAGTAAGACTGCAGATTGTATGCATTCTTGGCTCTCAAGTTTAACATTAAATGCTACATTTTTGGAAATTCTGCATTTCTGAATCAATATTTAAAATATCAAAGAAGGTCAAAACATTAATTTGTTAAGGACTCACCAGAGAATTAAAACCTGAAATAAATACTTAATTAAGGGTTGGTTTTGGTAATGCATTAGTCTAGATTTTTTTTTTTATATAGAATTCTCAAACTTAGAGTTTTTCTTCGTACTATGTTTTTGGTTCTATGCTGAATCCTTCTTTAGTTACTTGTTAGAATGAAATCAACTAGGACTCTTGAACTGTACCAGTTAGCTTGTAAAGACTGAAATCCATGTTTTTATCTTGAACTTGAAACTTTTCTCATGAAATATGAAAAACTCTAGGTAGGAGAGGTCTATAAACAAAAAATAATTCCTTCCTGAAATAAGTATTTTTTAACTGCTTTCACTTTCAGTATTTGTGTTTTTGTTTTAAACTATATATAATCACTGAATTTCTTGGATTATAAATAGGATGCCATACCCATGATCAGCAAGTTAACCTTTGACCCCAGGTTTGAACGGGCCATGAAGTATATTTATGGGAAAACTCTTATTTGTAGGAACCTTGAAGTAGCCACTCAGATTGCAAGAACATCTAACTTGGATTGTATTACTCTGGATGGTAAACATTAAGTTAAGAAATGTAAAACATAGGATTTGTAAGTTGTAACTTACTTCGTGTGACTGTAGTATTGTTTGAGATATTAAAAATTACAGGTGAAGAAGAGAGGTTTAATACAGGGTAGTTAAAAAATCTTTCATGCATTATCAGAGTTCTGAACAAAAAAAGTTAATCAGTAAAGTAAGAGATGTGCACAATATTCTGTGCTTTTCATTGCATTGAGAATTTTAGTGCAAATGCTCGTACACTAATTGCAAGAACATCTAACTTGGATTGTATTACTCTGGATGGTAAACATTAAGTTAAGAAATGTAAAACATAGGATTTGTAAGTTGTAACTTCGTGTGACTGTAGTATTGTTTGAGATATTAAAAATTACAGGTGAAGAAGAGAGGTTTAATACAGGGTAGTTAAAAAATCTTTCATGCATTATCGGAGTTCTAAACAAAAAAAGTTAATCAGTAAAGTAAGAGATGTGCACAATATTCTGTGCTTTTCATTGCATTGAGAATTTTAGTGCAAATGCTTGTACACTAATTGAAAATGCTATCAGGAAATTGTGCAAAATCTGCTGTGATATGGAAAGTTTGAGTCAAAAATCTGTGTTTATTGTGAATAACAAGTTTACAATGAAGAAATGCCTTCACATAATTCAATTTATGTAAGGTATTTCATATCAAATCAGTGTCATAAACTAGAAGATATACATATCATTATTTATCAGTAAATGCTGACTTCATTCAGAAATTTGAGTATTTGCAATTCATCAGAGGTATTTATTATGTGAACTGTTAGTTACTTTGTTTATATGGTTATCTAGATGAACTGTAAATAAAGAAAGTTAACAGTTTCTAGTGGTGGCTTCAAAACAGTGGTGTCAGCTACTCGAGCTAAAAAGAGTACTTGGGTAAATTAAAATTTTTGAACGTTAACAAATAAATTTTATTGCATAATATTAAACTTTTAAATGTATTGTTAAAATTACAATGCTACAGTTAATATCCGAAATGTAAGTATATTGTTTATATGCATTAATACAGTATTATCTGTCTTAGCCCTATCGCCCCTGGTATCCTTTACTGCACATGACACAAGGTTTTAGTATCTTACATTTAAAATTTTATTATACTACTTTTTGTTTATGTTATACCAATTAGAATAGCATGAAATCTTAGTTAATAATTCATATTTTAATAGTATACAAGTTTTAAGTTCTTAATTCTACAAGGCAATATTAAAAAAAAATTCTGAATTTCTACTAGTGTGACCCACGTGACACATTTTCTCTTAGCACGTCATCATCCATATTTTATCCATCACCCCTTGAAAATGTATGAAATTAAATGTAAATTACTCTATAAAATCGTTATTGCTCAGATAAACCATAATTTTTATAGTCTTCAATTTTGTTTGGTTACAGATCTATCAAATAGAGAATCAGATCCCTCCTGCCACACCCACCTGTCACATCCTCTCTATCACAATTCGTTGCTAGTTCTCTCTTACGAGTCATTATATATTACATATAACCAATAGAAAGTCAAGGTTTACATCTATCAAATGATGTATTGTATAATGTCGTGTTATGAACAGAATATCGTCAGTTTCACTCACAGTACAAGATACGTTCGCATGGGAAACATAACGACAAGCTTGGATGAATTTGTTACATCTCTTGTCACATAGTTAGAAAGGCAGGAAAATTTTGAGAGTTAGGAGAATTTGTCTGTATTTTGCATGTTATTAGTCTATATTCTTTGGTGCATTATTTAATTAAATAAAAATTATTAAGTGTATTACTATCATTGCTATAAAAATTAGGCTTAACTGTCCTCGACAATCGAGAGCAAGAAAAAAGAAGATTGCATAAGTACTTTATATCTTGTTTTGCTTATTTATTTTTTATTTATTATTATAAAAGTAACTGAAATCTAAAAATACAAATCTTTTTAAGTTATTGAACACTAGATTAGGTAAAATAAGTAATAATAATAATATAATTAAAATGGTTTACGAGGCACAGACGCGAGCAGTTCGTGGGTAATGTAATTCGATAGCATAACGTGTGCTGCACTTTCCCCGAGTGATATACAACTTATAATAGTGTGTATAGTAGTTAGAC